TTTTAAATTATTAATAAAAATAATTAATAATTAAAATTAAATTTTAATTACAAACTCTTCCTTACAATATTATTATTATTATTATATTTTTTTATAATTATCAAAGCTCGCGAATATAGGAAAAAAACTCTGTACTGGAAAAACTCTCAATTGTATTGATCAACACATATAAAGGTCTTAGAATTCATTTAAATACATGAGAGAAGCTAACTAACAAACAGAATCACTATAGTTCACCACTACTTTTTATTTTATTTTTAATTAGATTATTATTATTATTATATTGCTATCAATTAAATTAATTATTTTTTGTTAATTTTAGTAAATTAAATAATTAGGTTTTATATATGTGAAAAATATACAAGATAATGTAAAAATTAAGATATATATGAAACATATCAAGATTGTGATGAAAATATATGTTAAATTAAAACCAAGTTTCATCTTCTGTAGATAAAAAAAAAAAAAAAAGTGTTGTTAGTGAGTTTGGTAGGGTAGAACAAAGTTGAAGAATGGTCTGTTGTAGTTTATTTCACCAAATCATTGCAGAATTTAAGAACAAGAAACAAATCTAGAAAGGACGACACTTTAATGGGTCTTTCCATTTGATTAGGCAGATTTTAAGGGGAAATGCAACCTTTAAAGGAAACCATATCACATATTCAAATTCACGAATATTGGTCTTGTATTATAAAAATTGCCTCCATCTTAATAACATAATACTCTTTGTTAAGGGCATCCAAATTAAATACAATAAGTCTCGATATCAACTACTCACTATCCTCACTAGTTGATTAATTTGGCATAAAAGACCATTTTAATTTAATTACGATATCTTCTATCCAAACATGCTATTAGACTCTTAAGAATTCCAAATCTCAAAATGATTTGCATCTTTAACATACTCCAATAATATGTCCAATTCAAGCAGTTATGCCAATGAACGATTATCGATTTGATGCCTTCTTTATTCTTTTTTCTTAACACCATAACCACAAAATTATCTTTCTTTAATTATTTCTCCTAAAACTTAGACTCTGCTTAAGTTTTTTTTTTTTGACAGCACTATGCCTAAGTTCTTATTAGTGTAACTGTTGCTCTCAATTTTGAGAAGATAATAAAAAAAAAACCTTGAATGATAGACATGTGTAAGTGAGTTATGATTAATTAATCCCCGTGATAATTTTAGCGTAGAATAAATTGCAATTTACGCACTCGATTATCATTTTATTGTCCCTGTGAAACAAGTTATTGGCATGGGACGTCATTCACACGTGTATAGGTTAGTTGAAAATTAATAAATTAGCTTCTTTTATAAAATTGGTTTTTTTTTTTTTTTTTTTTTTGGTCCCTGGAGTATCTAGGGTCGATAACAGTGACTAATACCTTGACTAGGTTGGAGACACCTCAAAGGGTAGAATAGCTGGTCCTAAGATTTAACGCGGCTGCATATATAAGGCAGAATTTGAACTCCTGACTTTGTTTAAGCGTAGATCAACCCCTATCGTTAATCCACGTGCTTGGAATTTATAAAATTGGTTGTTAAACTACTTTAAAGTATAAAATAATATATTTATACCATTTTTTTGGGTACAAATTCTCTCTATTATTCAGACAAAATATGACTTTAGATAATTATGATTTCAGACAAAAGATAAGTTTAACATAATAGACATTGAATTCAATAGCTGGACTTTATGCAAAAGATGATAACCTAAATAGATTTTTTTTGGTTGGAAGTGTAAAGAGATTTTAATACTAATGTAAAAAGAAGAATAAAATCGTATTAAAATATTAAATATAAGTAGCCCGACAAAACAAATTAGTGAACTCATTATATTTTAGCATGAATTTTTCTTTCAACCATTAGAATCAATCTAATAGTGAAAAATTAGAATAATATATAAATAATTTTAAATTTAAACTTTGTTATTATTATTATAATTTTGATGAATAAAAAAATATATTGACCTAAATATTTTTAAACCATATACAACTTGACTTTTTCTTTAATTTTTTTTATTTACTTTCCTCAAAATTCTTGGTTAAAAGGTATTATGATAATTTTTTTATCGATATATTAATTTTAGTATAATAAATGAAAGATGAAATATAATTATTTTTATTATATTATTCATTTATAAAAAAAATTGAAAAGTCAGGCTAAAATAATCATTACCATTGCTTTTAACACGAAAAGTGTTTATATATTATAAGGTAATATCATATATCTTTGTAAAAAAAATTGCAGTGAAATTGCCTATATATTTAATGGATAGGCGTACGAGTTTGGAAATGTTGCAAAGATCTTATACTATTATAAATATACATAGTTCAAGAAATGCAAAATGTAATTTGGAAAAATGTATTGTAACTTTATAAGTAGCTAATGTCAAAATCATATGTGAAAATTTTGTTTAAAATGTCTCTTAACATTTTAAATATATGTAACTAAAAAAGACACAATGTAATTTGGAATCATATATTATAACTTTGTAAGTGCCTTTGTACAAATCAAATATCAGAGCTTACGACAAATAAATGAAAGTTTCATATTAGGGACTATTTGTTACTCTTATTCTCTAAGTCTCGATCTTTCTCAACAAAATAAAAAAAGAAGTGAGTAGTCCAAACATATACAACCAGGCTCATTATGACATGAGTTTAATCAAATCAACCTAAAAAGTCATTCAATTTGTTCTCAGAATTTAGAACAAAATATTGATGAAATAACTTTTTCCTGTATTTTACTTACTTTTTTTTTTTGCTGAATATATTTTTACTTCTATAACCAATTCTGTAATATCCCTTTTAATTTTATCATTATATCATCATTTTTGCAATGCGTTTTTCTATCATTTTCTCATATTCATGGTTTTAATATATGGGAACTTAACCAACAGATTGATATTTACAAAAGAATATTTTAAATAATTCTTACAAAATAACACAGTCTTATAAAAAGAAGAATTATTTAAATCAGAGCAATCAATATGATTAAGATATATAATATTAAAAATTATTAAGTTAATGTTTGTTTTGTTTATAATATTATATTATTTATTCAGCAGTAACACATTTGGTGAAAAATTATTATAAAAATTAAGAAAATTGTTTTTAAAAAGAAAAGTAACTTAAAAAAGAAAAAATACTTGGACTAGCTTCAAACACAAGTTATGCACCTTAATCACTCTCCCTAGCTATGATCCCGAACTAATAATAGAAGTGAAACAAAGAAACAAACTTTTAAATTAAAAAAAAAAAATATTTAAGCTATAAACACCAAACAACTTCTACTTATTTAAAAAATTATTTTAAATTTTAACTTTAAATAACTTTTAGATTATAAAAATTTAGGTCAGCATATGAGACTTATTGTAACATTATATATTCGTAAAAAATACACTAAATTTAAAATTTTGGATTTCATGTATACTACTTCTAATCTTTCACTATTAAATCAATTATAGTGTATCTTACAACGATTTGATTAATTAATAAAATTATTAATATAACAAATTTGTAAATTTTTAACTTAATTATTTTTTTCTTTACATAAATTTGCAAGTTTTAGTATTATTCATTTTGGACCTAAGTCTACGTTTTCAATAAATTTCACAAGTATTTAATGTCTAGTTCTATCATATCCATTTAAAATTGGCCATCATCCACCTTAACAATCTTGTCGTAACTTCTTGTTATGTACCGGAATGTGCTTATACACATGTTTTATATTGATATAATATTATTTTTTTACTTTGAATTTAAGTCTTAGATTTACTTTTGATAATCTCCTAAAAGATTTTATACTAATGAAATATATGTGTGTTTCATAAAATCATGTTTCTCTCCTTATTATGATGATACAAAACTTTGTTTGTATTTCTAACATTCAAAAATATTTTGACATAACATTATTGCATTTCGAGAGATTAAACCTTGTTTAAACCATAAAGGTTGACTAATATATAGAGGACGCTCTTAAACTTGACATATGAGACTTAGGTTGCTTTTA